GGTACATCTGGGTCGTCTTATAATCAGGGTCGTCTTATATTCGGGCCAATACGGTAAATGAAGAAAAAAAAGAAAAAAAAGCAACAAAATTCACAACATTTCTAAATGTTTTGCTGCTAAAGTTAAACTGTGGTAAGTTTGGTAATGCCATCAGAAAGAAAATTACTGGAAGATTTTGGAAGATTCTTACAATATTTGTAGGAGGTTTCATGACTTTCGAAATTGTACTTATTATACACTAATAACGGTACACTGTAAAAAAAAATTCCGTAAAATTTACGGTAAAAAAGTGGCAGCTGTGGTTGCCGGAATTTTACCGTAAAAAGTACGGTAGCAACGTTTTAGGTTTTACGGTTTTTACTTCATCCTCTAATGAAGTGACGTTACCAGCAGCAGGGTTGTCGTTGGGCGTCTCAGTCGACCACCCCACTGGCGACAACCCTCACAAAGCCCGAAACTTAATCTGCTCTCCGATCGCCCTCTCTGATTGCTCTTCACCTTGCAGCATTTGCAGCTTGCTTTGTTGAGCCATTTAAAGACAGAATACGGCTGAAAACGAGCCTCAGCTCCTCATGACCTCAGTGTTTTGGACTGTTCTGTGAAACACTGATACGATGCACTTAGAATACGAAAAAAGCTATGATGACCCACAGCCACTCATATGAAAGCTAATGGACGGAGCACTTAACACAGGGCTTTAAAAAAAAGCCAATGAAGAAACCGATCCTCACTACTGGCCACAACACACACACACACTTTGCCGTTCTCTCATGACATGTGAGGCCTTTATCCCTCGTTTTCTCCCTCTCTGACCGTTTTTGTCTTCTCTTTTCTTCTGGTGGTTCTGTAGGATCAGGAAACAAGCTACACCATCATAAAGTCAAAGGAGACGGATGTTTTGGTGGATGGCCTTAAACCTTCCTCAGCGTACATCTTTCAAATTAGAGCACGCACCTCTGCAGGCTACGGAGGGTTCAGTCGCCGCTTTGAGTTTGAAACAAGCCCTTACTGTAAGTGAAACATAAAACAAACAAACAAACCAAAAATAAAATAAGATTGAAATGGATGAGCCACATTCAAAGTCATTGTAAAATAAAAATGTATGTATTGCAAAAAGGGAATTTGATGCTTTCAGATTTTTTTTTTAAGTTCTCTCCGCTATTGTCTTTAAAAAATGGTCAATTTCAATGTTTTTGTTCACTAAATGCAAAATGCCTCATTCAACCAATTCATTAAGGCAATTATGAATTTCTTGTTTAGCAAATGTTCAGTTCATAACACAATGAACTGATTCTGATATATGTTCAGTGGCAAGAATATGTATGTGAACCCATTGGGATTGGTTGGTTTTCTACATTGATTGGTTATAAAAAAATCATCTGATCTTCATCAAAGTCGCAAGTATAAACAAACAGAATGTGCTTAAGCTAACAACAAACAAACAATTATAATCTTTCATGTCTTTAATAAACACGTTCCATTCATAGTGCTGTGAAAAACGTATGTGAACTTTATCTTGCTTGCATTTTTCCATCTGCCATTTTCTGCATATTTATTTACTTTGTTGAGCATCAGTGGATGTTTTTACCCTTTATAATATTTGTAGGTAGATGTATGAGTCCATCAGTTGTCACCAGTATGAAAAGATGGATCGCAAAATCATATAGTCACTATTATACAGTGTTCAAATATGCAGAAAATGCTATATGTGATGCTATGCTTGTGACTTTGATTATTGATTATTATAGTTATTTTATGCACAGAATGTCACCTACAAAGCAAAGACATATAGGATGCAACAAACTTCTATTGTTGATGCACATAAAAAGAGCATATAAAAGGATGAGCTCTCAATGCAATGAATAACAAAAAAAAAAAAAATCAACAACAGTCAGCAAACAGTGAAACAATAATCCAATAACATTAACAGCATTATTCATATCGCAGTGCATGCTGGGAACTCACACACCCATTTCACCAATATTGTTCAATTTAAAATTCTTTGTTCAGACAACTGTGTTTGACTAGTTGGGACAACATTAGGGAGAATGCTGCTGCTCTAACACGGGTTTTTATGTTTCATTTAATTCATATTTGAGCAACTCTTAACCAGTTGCATATTACTAGCATATTGGCCGTATTGATGGCTTATTCTGCATGACCATATATTAGATCCCTTAATCCTGCACCATACCTAAACTTAACCACTTCCTTACTAACTATTAATAAGCAGCAAATTAGGAGTTTATTGAGGCAAAAGTCATAGTTAATATGCCACACAGTGTTGGCTGTGTGTAATAATTGATATTTCACAGTACAGTTAAAGTGAATTTAGCAGGAATCAAGGTAGTGATTGTGATGAAATGGCACAAAGCTGCTCTCAAACCGTGCTCTTGTCTCTCTCTTGTGTCTGTGTTCCAGCAGTAGCGGCCTCCAGTGATCAGGGTCAGGTGCCCATCATCGCTGTCGCGGTCACTGTGGCCATCATCCTCGTCGCCTTGGTCACAGGTTTCCTGATGAGTGGCAGGTAAGAAGACACCATAACAGTGATTATCACATTTGCGCACTGTGCACAGAAAATCTCAGTCTGTCATGTTACTTTAAAGTAGTGAATAAGCATTTCAATGGACAAAACGCATCTGGAAAACAGAAAAGTGAGCTGCTACAGGAAAAGTGCATGATATAAACGTGATGAGACATGCTTTATATCAAGCCCTGTCAGGTGCTTAGACAGATATGTGTAATCTTTGATGCATTTGAGACATGATTTATCTCAGAACATAAATTACATCTCACGATTGGATCCTTATCTGCAAATGTTAGAAAGTCATGTGAGTATTTCCATTCATCTGGTAAACTTCACTAAAGGAGCACAGAGCACATAAGATTTTGGTAGGCTACTATTAGATGGATAGCCTAAATGTCCTAATTCAGATGGGCTACCTGTTTTTTTTGTTTGTTTGTTTTTTTTTTAAAGTGTATATTTTTTATGTGATTGTTTGTACATTTTACCAGTTTTTACCATACTTTCAAAACAAAAATTAAAATAGGAAAAATATGGTATATGAAAATAATTGATGACAAAATGTGTTTTACCGAGAAAAAACAAGATTTGGCTTTTAAAAAGCCTTTTTCCAAAAGGTACATCTGGAAAAACGGGGTCGTCTTATAATCAGGGTCGTCTTATATTCGGGCCAATACGGTAAATGAAGAAAAAAAAGTGTTAAAAACAACAAAATTCACAACATTTCTAAATGTTTTGCTGCTAAAGTTAAACTGTGGTAAGTTTGGTAATGCCATCAGAAAGAAAATTACTGGAAGATTTTGGAAGATTCTTACAATATTTGTAGGAGGTTTCATGACTTTCGAAATTGTACTTATTATACACTAATAACGGTACACTGTAAAAAAAAATTCCGTAAAATTTACGGTAAAAAAGTGGCAGCTGTGGTTGCCGGAATTTTACCGTAAAAAGTACGGTAGCAACGTTTTAGGTTTTACGGTTTTTACTTGAGAAAGTCACATGATGAACCAAAGCCCATCACAAGCAGCTTTTAAATAATAACATATATAGAAGGCGCACAGTGTCATTCACGTTCAATACGGTATTTTTCACTTCCAAAAACGGTATACTACCGTAAAATGTATGTCCAATACATGTAATGTCCAATACAGTTTTTCACCGTATATACAGTAGTAGGGGAATTTACCGTTAATCATTTAACAGGTTTTTACTGTAGCATTTTTACAGTCTTTTACCGTTAAATTCACGGTCATTTTTTACAGTGTAGTATTTGCCTGAAACTAAACACAACATATACTGAAATGTATACTAAAGTTCACGCAAATGAGAAACATGAGAGGAAAACAAAAATAACATGAGAATGACATAATTATTTACTTTACTTACAGCCATGTGAATATATTTGAACATATAAATGGATTTAGCTGTCAGTCTTCTCTGTCATGTATTGAGCTGGTTACCGAGGGAATTACATGCATACATATCTACATCTCTGATCATTGGCCACAGTTCTACAGTAGGGAAAATATGTGCCTGTTTGCTTCTTAATGTAAATAATGGGAGCGGTGTTTCCATGATCACAAAACATAATGTCAGAGCAAGACGAGGAGCCAACAACAATATCCTGTTTCATATACACTGTCCTATTTAGCATTTCAGCCGCAACATTTTAAAATGAGACAGTAAAGCATGCTGTTGTCCTCGCTGGCTAGAGGAGCCATGTTCTGTCTATCTATAATAAACAGTCTGCAATTTACTGGAATTATGCTGGAAGTGCAGGTGCAGATGTAAACTTGTTCATTTTTGTTTGCGCTTATGAAAAGGTTTATTATAAATAGATGGAATATTGAGTTTGAAATTTAAAGAGAGATTGACTGAAAATAAATAATTTCCTGCGTCCAGGTACTATACGTGAACCAAAGTCGTAAAAGTTTGATTTAACATCTCCATTTTACCTCTGAAGAACGTGTTCTGTTAGTGTTAGCTTTAACATTAGCATTGGAATCCGTAAGCATTTCCATTCGTTCCTGATGGAAGTACACAACTTAACATTTTATTTCATCAAAATACACAGCTATTATGAAAAAGAAGTGCACTCTAGCATACTTATTACTTAGTTATTGCAATTCCATTTCAATTTAACATTGATTAAATGTATATTCAGTGCAATTAGCTGAACTTAATAGTGCTTGTTTGACCCAAATAGGATTTAAGTAAGTATTTAAATGTAATTTCACAATTATCTCTATTGTCATTGAAAAATGAACTAATTCTATTGTCATTTATAGGTAACTAAAATATATTTGAATGTATTTTATATTCACTGTTGTATGTCATTTATTTAAATATTTGTAATTACACATTTGTAAAGATGAAGTTGCAATTAACACACTACAGTTAAAATTATAATCAAGTAGGCCTACTTTACATGTGCTAGTTAGTCAGACTAAGTGTACTTTAAAGTACAATTATTGAAAGATTAAAACAAATATTTAAAATGTGTGTTAATGTTTATTACTTATTACTATGTTATTACTGCATTATTACAAAGTGCACTTTTTAAAAGTGTACTTAAGTGTGTTAAGATAATCATGAAAGTGTCTCTCTTAAATGGCCTTTTATTTTATTAATATTATATTATATGCAAGTACAGTTTTTTTTTTATAATATACTTGAAGTACATTACGAGTGCACATGCAATACAATTAAGTAAACTTTTTCAAGGGTTTGAATGTCTGTCAGTGGAGAATGGGCTAACTAGCCAATGCTAACCTTAAACAATGTCCGTCTCTCCTCACCTTTCACCCTTGAACTGAACCGCAGCCTTTAATCCAATGCTGTCAAGTCCTCCTCGAGATTGACAATTGGCACGAGAGCAAGACCTCAAACAGACATCAGCAGGCTGAATTCCTCAGAATCCTCGAGATTGCCACTTGAAAGGCAGTTGAATTGTTTAAGCAAGGGTTAGGATGTCCCTCAAGGGTGCGACCGTTTCAGGCAATTACTCTTAAAGTGTATATCAGTGTATCATGCGGGCCACAGCCTTGACACTTCCGTCACCTTTCATGTCACAGATGGGTTTGAAGCACGCTTTCTCCTGCAGGAAGCAATCAGGGTTGTTAATGGCCTTCTTGGCCTTACTAGGTCAAGACGTATTCATGAATGAGCTGCAAGGGCACCGTCAGAAGCCCATTACCCCAGGCTGACTGGAGAACAGGCTCCTGCTGGACAGGGCTGTTAGTAAAGCTGTCAGAGAACCATCCTCGCAGACATTTGAAGGTGATGGTGTGAAGGTTTTGGGTTGAGTCGAGGACACTGGCTGAGAATATACACAATATCACACTTTATTTTGATGTCACTTCTTCACATATGCAAGAAATATTCATGTATAGAAAGGTACCGACATTCTACCATCATTAAAGGTACCATTCAAAAGGGTTGGGGTTGGGGGTATTTATTTATTTATTTATTTATTTGTTTGTTTGTTTACTTTCATCAAGACTACATTTATTTTATTAAAAAAAATAGAAATATTATGAAATATTATTATCATTTAAAATAACTGTTTTCTAATTTAATATATAGTGAAACGTAATTTATTTCTTTGATGCAAAGCTGAATTTCCAGCATCATTACTCCAGTTTTCAGAGTCACATGATCCTTCAGAAATCATTATAATATGCCGATTTACTGCTCAAATCAACCAATCTATAACTTAAAAACAGTTAATATTTAATATTTTTGTGCAAACGCTGATGCTTTTTTTCCATGGTTCTTTAATGTAACGAAAGTTGACAAAGAACACAATTCTGAACAATACTTTTATTATTGTAAAATAGACTATTAGTGTATCTTTTATGCTCACTGAGCCAGTAAAAACAGTAATATTGTCAAATATGTATACATGCAGCCTTATATACATATAAAGCTTATACTAATCATAAGAGTAGCCTTTCTTCTAGTTGGGATTTTGGTTTTATAGCTTAATATGTCAGACTGAGTGACAGCACAGAGGTCCAATCATTTTCTCAGAAGAAAGTGGAGCACAGGAAGAGGCGGGGCTTCAGGGTCGACATGCTGGTCAGACTCATCAGCTCTGCATGTGTGTCTCCCCTGAGACTGCAGCCATACAGCCAAATCCCACGGGATTCACACACATTCATTCATGCTCATTCACACCTAAACAGTGAAGGGTCGGCCTGAAAGGGAAATGGCTTGTTTGGAATTTGGGCCATAAACTGGGCCATAAACTGATATTCATAGTAAGCATCCGGTAAATGGTATTTTATAGACTGTGGGAGAACTCATAATCAAATACTAGTGTACTGCATAATATATACTGAAAGCTACCAAGGAAATAGTATGCGATGTGCATATGCACTATGTCAAGTACACGATCACATTTATTTTTGCATATTGCATACTGTTTTCCTGGCAGCATGCACTCTATATTATGGAGTACACATGTGTTTTTGCGTTACATGCAGAAAACTCCAATACTGTGGCATGCAGTTCAAACTCTAGAATAATATTTGAAACTATTCTTATCAATCATACTATTAATAACAATTAACACTACCATTTGTTTAAAACATTGTCATTTTAGTATCAGTGTTTTTACAGTTTTTTTTTATCTTCATATTTTCTGTTGTTATTTTAGTTATATGCAAGCTTATTATATTTGTTTATTTAGTTATTTATTTAGTTAGTTAGTTTTAATCCTGGATTAAAATTGTAATCAAATTAATCACATTACATTCTAATTAATTTTATTACAGTTAATAACATTTGTCATATAATTTTATAGCAATAATTTCAAATCAGTACTAAAATCTAAATCCTATTTTATCTTTTATGATGATAATTAATATGTTATGCACTAATAATTGCATTTTCATTTAACTTATTTGCAAAATAGAAGATAATATACAGTGATCATGTACAGGTGGTCAAATAATTTTACTCTGCTGGCTGTACTGTATCTCAGGTCTGTAGTGGATATCACTTTGTTTCTGCAGTTCATTGTGTCTGAATGTTCACTTTCTCATTTCACACATGCAAACACTCTGCTGGCAGATAAAGCAGTGATGCATTGGGTTCGCTTAAGACTGCTGTCATACTGCATGTGTGTGTGTTTGGATAGTGTCCTCTGGAGGATTCTTGTGCTGAAAGCAGATAAAACCATTACCATCCCCGTATCCACTCGTTCAATTAGCAGCATTGCATCTAAAAATGAGAGTAAACGAGTGCAGGGTTGATGTCTGTTTATACATCACAGACAACTGCGATGTATAAACAATAACACAGCTTTTCTTTTTCACAGACGTTGTGGCTACAGCAAAGCCAAGCAAGATCCAGACGAGGAGAAGATGCACTTCCACAATGGACACAGTAAGTCTAACTGAAACAGACAGACAGACACGTCTGGGGTCAGCCAGAGTTCAGTGGGCTATAGTCTCATCCCATCATAAGCTTATAAATGTTTTTTGATTTTTGAAAAAATTATTTTATTTATTTTTTTCTTCACAAACCATCATCCTATGTGTGAATATAGTACATATGTTGTATATATTTTTTTATATATTAAACAATAAATATTGCCAAACATTCAAAACAGAAGATATAAATAATTTAGAAAATATACATATGTTTTCAAATATATTTTCACAGTATTAATAATTATTATTAATGATGCAGTGTTGCATAATAATAATAATAATAATAATAATAATAATAATAATGTTTTGTTAAATATTGTATAATAAGAAAAATATTAATAAATGGATAACAGCAACATTGATTCATATTAATATCTTTGTTTTACTACTACTACTACTTATATTATTATTATTACTATGTTTTTATTGTTATTATTACTGATAATATTTAAATAAATATAATCAGTTGTTTTTATTAATATCATTACAAATGTATTTACAGCAACATTGATTTTGATTAATATGTTGTTATAAAATAATAATAATAATAATAATAATAATAATAAATTTGCAATAGAAGGACTGATGAAAAGTTCAATAGACTTAAATTATTTGTTTAGTAACATTGCAGTAACTGGGACACCCATCTGTAATCTGAAAACCTCACTGGCCCATTAGGCTGCAACCACACTATCCACGTAGCCAATAATACGACACATAGACATGTGGCATATTTTGGTGTATTCTTATTATGTAGTCCTAAAGCAATCCATCAATGTGTTGTGCTTGGCGCAGCAGGGAATAACAAACACGGTCTCTAGAGATGAACCCTCAAACAGCATCTCCTGCGTGCATCCTCTTACGGTACATCACATGACCCAACCCCAGAGCTGTGAAGGGCCAGGGTTCAACATTTCCTCCTCTATCTCTCTGTTTCTTGTCCTCTCTCTCTTCATCACAGTCAAATTCCCAGCGGTCCGCACGTATATCGATCCTCACACCTACGAAGATCCCAACCAGGCCGTCCACGAGTTCGCCAAGGAGATTGATGTGTCCTGTATCACCATTGAGCGAGTTATTGGAGCCGGTGAGTGAGTTATGAGCGACTAAAACAAAACAGGCCTTAGGAACAGAATTACAGTTAGCTTGCATGGTGAACATTCACTGCTGAGAAGGAGTATTTGAGACGTTTGGAGCGTTTGGACTGACTGTGCAGCGTTTTGTATGAGATGAAATCTGTTTAGATACTGTGGATCATTATGTTGGATAAATTATGCATGATAAACTGCCTAACAACACCCTAACAACCACCCAGAATGCCCTAGCAACCACATAGCATTATATCTTCTACTTAGAGGAACAGTTCACCCAAAATGAAAATTTGCTGTTAATTTACTCACCCTCAGGCCATCCAAGATGTAGGAGAATTTTGTTCTTCAGTAGAACAGTTAAGAAGATTTGGTCACACTTTATTTTAAGGTCCAGTTGTTGCTATTAACAAACCATTAACTATGACTTTTGCCTCAATAAACTCCTAATTTGCTGCTTATTAATAGTTAGTAAGGTAGTTGTTAAGTTTAGGTATTGGGTAGGATTAGGGATGTAGAATATGATCATGCAGAATATGTGCTTTATAAGTACTAATAAACAGCCAATATGTCAATAATAGGCATGCTAATAAGCAACTAGTTAATAGTGAGAATTGGTCCCTAAAGTAAAGTGTTATCAAAGATTTTTAGCTAAAACTGTGGTCCTTGATGATACATTAAATGCATAGGTGATTCATAAAAAGTCAATGGCTGCCCATCTTTGAGAATATAAACAAGCATACCAGGCAAGACAAAATTAATACCCGTGGCTCCTGATCATATATTGAGGTCTTATGAAGCAAAACGATCGGTTTGTGCAAGAAACTGAACATTATTTACAACATTATTAATTCAGAGCCTCAGACGAATGGTCTGGAGTGATGTCAGGTTCAGACTTTATTCATTCAGAAGGAAGTTCATCCCTCAGTAGCTTTGCACTTTGTCGCTTTCCGAGGGAAATCTGCCCGAGCACAATGAGACGCTTCATTGTCTGGCTCTTTCCTGCCACGGTTCACTGATGGCTCTGCCTCGCGGTTGCAGGTGAGTTCGGTGAGGTGTGCAGCGGTTTGCTGCGGCTGCCAGGGAAGAGAGAGATCCCAGTGGCCATTAAAACTCTGAAAGCCGGTTACACCGAGAAGCAGAGGAGGGACTTCCTGGGCGAGGCCAGCATCATGGGCCAGTTCGAGCATCCCAACATCATCCACCTCAAGGGGGTCATCACTAAGAGTGAGTGCTAGGAGGTCTTTTGATTATGATTGTTTTTGAAAATGATTGTTTCAGTATTACACTGTAAAAAATGTTAACCTGTAATTGTTATCTTGTTGTTGATTTTACCCCTCAGTTTAGTTTTGTTGGTGTAACCTAAACATTTTTTGGGTTGATTCGGTAATGTTAAATAATGTTTTTGATTCAAATAAAAGAAGTTAAATTGTTACCACATGATGCACATTTTTATGTTACCAGTTTTATATTATATGTGTCATATAATAGTAACATAACAAAGACCTTGAAGCTGAAATGCGTGTGTTTTATTTCTGCAAGGTAAACCAGTTATGATAATAACAGAATATATGGAGAATGGATCCCTGGACACCTTTTTGAAGGTACATTTCTGCTTTTCTCAGTCAACAAAGACACTAATGTGACATGGTCAACAAACATTGTAATAAATGTCAATAAACATCATTAAATGATATATCATTCATCATTGTATGAAATTTATGGACATGTCATGAAAAAAATGACGAGATGATTAGTCACATTTTATTTGAACGTCCCTTGTTACAGTGTAATTAAACAAATAATTACTGAGTAATATTAATTAATTGTGTACTACGAGGTTTCAAGTTGGTTAGGGTTAGTTGTGTTAGTGTTAGTTGCTTTAATTATGCATAATTTGCATAAATTTACTGCTATTACTATAGTATATGTAACGTTTAAAAGGGACACTTTAAAGTGATATCTTATTTTGTTATAATGAAAAAAAGTTTGTATTTTATTTATTTATTTATTATGTGTCACTAGTGTTTTGTGATTGAGCAAATCCATACAAATTGTACTTTATTATTGTATTGCGTTTTTGTGCATCAAATGAAATATAAATATATTAATCTTATTTTGTTATGATGAAAACGTGTTCATATAAGTGTTTTAAATTGTAGTTTTTGTGTATATATATATATATATATATATATATACAGTGGGGAAAGTATTTATTTGATCCCCTGTTGATTTTGTAAGTTTGCCCACTTACAAATAAATGAAGGGTCTGTAATTTTTATGGTAGGTTTATTTTAACGGATAGAGAGAAT